AGGCTAAAGGAACAGTCAAGAACTTGGAAGCCTGCGCATTCAATAAAATGCACAATCAGTGAAAGTGTTGAGTGCTGTAATCATTCTGTTTGAGTTCTGGCATCGAAAGGTCATCCGGTCAAGTTGGAGCATGTGATGATGGAGAGAGGACCTTAGACGTAAGGGTCAGTGAAGATTGTGTTAGGTTTTCTCAGTGCCTGATGACAGACTGTTATAAACATAGCCGGCAGCCTAAGGCATGGCAGGACAACAGGTGGAGGTTGTGAAATAACGTTATACTATGAGGTTGTACAAGTAGGTTGTTTATAGTTATATTAGTCTAGTTATATAATGAGGTGCAACCTCTATTGATATATTTGGTCATAGATCATCACTGCTAGCAGGACTATATGGAGCATGCTTTGATTGATGGTACATCAAGGTGGAGGTTGTACAGTGAGGTTGTACAGTGAGGTTGTACTATGGGGAGCAAGGTTTTTTGATATATTTGGTCATAGATCGTCACTGCTAGCAGGACTCCACTGAGCATGCTCCACAGTACATCAAGGCACACATTCCTGTCCGGACGGCAGAGGCCTTGACTCCCCACATGGCACAGCCGACCCCAGAACTGTTTAAAGACCGAGTATTTCCATATACAGGAGAAACATGTTGTCCCACATGCCTGCTGTGATGTCACAACACATGGGTGGAGAAACAGTCTACAGCATGACAGAAAACATCTGAACTTGGTTGAACTCAGTGTATCTTTTTATATCAGCATCCTATTCAATGTAGTTGACAGTAGAAGGCTATTTGTGCAGTGAGCACTGAAACAAATACCAAATGTGCAGATGAAAAATAAGTTAGGCTACAGTCAGGAGCTAAAGAGGACCTGAACATGCTAATTATTAAAGTAAAATATGTTTAGTCCAGTTGGAATATTAAGAGGACAGTCCGTATTTTCTCCGCTTTGTTTTCTCTTCAAGTAAAAAAAAATGTCAAAATTAACACCCTTATACTTGACTTGAACTATTCCAATATCATGCCTGACCAGCTTGAATTTGGGAGCTACCACTGTGCAGCAGGGGGTGAAAACTGAAGCAGGTGCATGAGTTCAAGTAAGAAAATTGAAGAGAAAACGCTATCAGTAGGGACCGCTAATCCTGCCACACTGAGACCTCGTTAAGTTCTTTTAGCCGAAACGTTTGTCACTTCTGGCCACCAAGCAAGGGGGAAGCTCATTTCTCCAGTCAGTAAAGCAGACCTAATCTCAGCAGCTTAATACCCAGTTATTACCTCATCAGCTTACTGTTAACCTGAAATATGTCTGCATCTGGAACTGTTTGAAGGAGAGAAGTGCCCACTGTGTGGTGATAGCTGTTTGATATTACAGACTTCAAGTCAAGCTGGCCTTTAATGCATGCATGGTCAGCCAAGCAGGCCAATCAGCCAAGCACACAAAATAGGGGTTAGAAGTACCAGCCAGAATTGAAACAATTTAGTCCTTCAGTGACCAAGGGATGTTTTAAGCTGCTTTCGACCAGTAGGTATTGTAGGCATTATTCCTTCTGAATACACTGTCAGTCTGTCTAAGCTGACAGACCAGAGGAATTACAGGGGATGAGAAGTGCTAATTCTCCAAGCAGGATTCTCTGTATTATATTTAACTTACGGATTTAGATACTAATAGCTAGTTGATTCTTACATGCAGATGACATAAGTACCCGATTTTCATCTATTTCTGTACTTTGCATCTCAGAATTCAAAACTTGGTGTCATCTTGAAACTACGTATGGGTCAACATTTGCTGGAGTTTGAATAGCTCTTTATCTGAGCAGCTCTTCCATGTTTAGGGAGAGATTAGCAGTCTGCATTCTTTTCGGCACCCATAATGCCTCTATCAAAACTTGAGAGAGGGGAGCTGCTGATGGCTTACCCTAGATGGAATACCACGCTCCGATGTGGATTTATGAAATCCCAACAGCAATGGGGTGAATGTTGATAACAAGGTGGCTCTATTTATGTATGGATGGAAATACTGGCCATGTACAGTGGAATCAACCACATAATGTCTTAGGTAGGATAACATTAGTTTGAATGTCCCACAAGTGTGTTTATAAACTATACTGTTGTTATTGTGAGAGCTAAGAAAACTAAAGATAGCAAAGAAATGTCAACCCTAACTAAGAAATTTGGGATAGTGTCCAAATATAACAGCCCAAGTGAAAACCACACACAGGTTTGTATAGTCTTGCACTCTGCCTGCTGATAAAGAAAATTTAAAGCAAGCCTTCGAGGAATGCACCAATAAGGTCACAGCCAAGATTCCGAGGGGACAGACAGATCCAGATGTGGACTTTAGACTATATGCCACAAACTTTAACCTGCCGAAACGTGGAATACACATGGAGGGAAGCTTTATTTTATAGTTGGCCTTGGAAATGGGAGGAGAACTTGGCTTTAAATATCCTGTCCCTTTGTCCTGATAGCAGGACAGCTCTAGCGAGTGCACCAGACACTTTACACCCCAGAATGCTAGACATGACAGGCGTTGGCTAGGAATGTTCCATCCTCCCCACACACTCCCTCTACATGCAAACATTCACATTTCCTCAGGCAAGGCCCCATAGGTACCATAGGTATACAGACTGCCCAGTCTTAGATGACAATCAGAAAATTGGACCGAGTGGTAGAAATACATGTATTCAAATTGCCGTTGGTGTGTATCGCAATAACAGAAGGTGATTTCATTTACTTCACAGTATGCATTCATGTTTGCATGCAATAAATCGTCTCTTATGTTTTCATACAAATACAGGTGAATATCTACCACAGGAAACTAAAATTCATGTGCTGTAGCAGACACAATGTGGTGTTGGATTACATTATGTAGCAAGTTGGAGGGGGTGGGCACCATATAAATAAAATGTGTTTTCATAAGAATGTATAGGGCAGTAGTTTGTTAGGGTAGGTTAAAGTTACAAATGCAGTTATACAACACTAAGTTTTATACAGGGACAGAAAATGTGGGAAATATTACTTGGAAATGCTTACAAAGGCAATGACACGTGACAAAGCCACACCTTCAAAGGGTCAATAGTTCAAAAACCTGTGGAAGGTAGAAAATGTAGATACCATGCATGCTCCATAAAAAAAAAACTTCCCTGTGATTTCCATCAGTGTATTAAAGTGATGTGCCTTCCCCAGCAGCACGACCTGAGGTGTAAAAACAGCCATTGTTTTACCATCAGCGGGCTGCAGAAGTAGGGCAGTAACTCATCATGCACAAACCTTCTAACCCGGCTCGTAAACCCTGCGCAGTCCATTTCTGCCAGATGGGCCCGAGGGGCTATTAGAATAGGATTTGCCACACAGAAAATACCTTCAAAAGCTGCCGTGTTCCGCCATTGTGAAGAGTTGGTTGGTAACCTTGTACCAGGGTTCTAGCCAGTGTCCGTCTTTCTGTCATTTGATAGAATTTTGCCCAATCTGTCATCTTTGACGGACGAAAATCGGTGTGTGTAAAGATATGGAAAGAGACATCATTAAACTAAGCTTAGTATTTAGCAAACTTTGCCCCTCAAAATAGGAAGTGGCACTTCAGAGGGTCAAGATTAATTTATAAAAAATTGCCCACGGACCCTCCTTGCATTGTCAGACTTTGCAGATTCAGCGCTGGTCATGATTTTACATCAAAACAAAATTGAGATGTCGGGGAAAAAACTTCAGACTGGCTCAAACATTGCCTTACACTTAACATTACCAGCTCAAGCTACAAAGTCATTCCACACATGCCTATGACGTGAGGTTACTTCCTAAGTGTTCCTTACAAGCCTGATCTGGCCAGGTCATCCTAAAATAAATACAGGTACCTGCACAGCTACCTGTTAAATCCTTGTGTAGGATGTTTTGACTAACACTACAGTCCATACCTTATGTCGATGAAAGCAGAGTTAGATGTCACATGGCATACTAGTATATTATTACTATATCTTCACATGTCCCTTAAGCTATGGCTAAGAAGTTAAAAATGTAAAAGAACCCAACACACTTTTTGCAAAAAGAGTAGGGATGACCCAGTGTGCTTGGTTATAAACGCGAGCAAAGAAAGCAAAGACACATTGCAAAGACACATTGCACTACTAGAAAAAGCATGATTATGCTTCGTCCTAAGTCTGAGGTCACCCATTATACATTTTTTTTTTACTTTGGTGGAAGGGAATATTACAAGCCTCACAAGAAATGTTCCAGACAAAATGCTCCAAGACTAGTGATGAGTTTTTATATTACATCTATTGCCAGGAGGTGTTTAATCAATTATGTATGCAATTAAATAACTGCCGGTATAATCTACAAAATTTGGAGTCCTGCCGACTGACACTCCCCCAATAAGCCCTCCAGACTTCCAGACATGACAAAATGAACACAAGACACAGATGGAGTAATCAAACAATGATTTAAATCCAGAACGAATGCTGTAGAATAGTAATCAGCCGCAAGGCCTTCGGTGGAATACAAGTGACCAAAGCAATTGAATATTAATTGAAGGATCCCCCTCCCTTGTGTCTAATTTACCTTAATTAGGATTTGTTTTGTATCCATCAATTTCCTTGCTGTGAATGAAACATGAGGTGCCATGTGTGGTGCAGCAATGTAACACCAAATCACAGAGTATACTATAGCATCTGATACTTCAAAATTAAAACACAAGCAAGGTTTAGACATGTACGGTTTTCTCCTTTCATGATTCAGCTGAAACATGGTATTCAGAATTGATGTGTGAACATGTTGATGCATTTCAATGGCATTTGACGGAAGATTGTGGGAAGATAGAATTCATCTTCAACGATACCCTTCCTTTTTCTCAAAGATGCTCCCTAAATGACAAGCCACTGGCCTGTCAAAGGACAGCTTAAGACTGAAGAGACGACCCTCTGACACTGACTTTTAAAGCTAAGAAAAAAAGCTTCCTCTCCCCATGACTAATTTCTTCATTTTGTTGTATGATTTGCTCATAGGATCAGTACCTGAAACTCTGGGGATATCAGTGGAATACCAATTTGGAAGTAAGTTGACTTTCTGTTATTACAGCCAATGCTTATGAAAAAAAAATCATAACAATCTCTTAGCAACAGGACTGATCCCAAACAAACTATACCTGTTGCATACCTATGTGATTACTGCATATCAAATATTTGAAAATAATCAGTGCTATGATGATAGATAATATTATGATTCTCATATATTGAGTCCCTCATGAATATACCAACAGTTACCAATAAAACCCAAATAAAGCTCTAACAACATTAACATATTTCACCTTTTTCTCTGACTGTCTTTCAGTATTTCATCAATAATCTACTAGCATAGTCAACAGCAGCCTAGAAGTATTCTATGAATGTAGACAGTAAAGCGGACAATACATTAGAGTGAGATTTCCCAAAAGTAGGTAAGGTAAGGTTAGAAGAGAGTGGTGTCAGGGAACTTAACTCCCAGCAGATCTTGCGGTCAACTTTATAGAACGTTGATCACATTTCTCTAGTTTCCCGGCGCCGTTTTGTCTACGTGTTGTTTTGTACAAGAAAAGCTGGCTGTCGTGACGCAGCAAACTAACCTCGTCAGGGCAAACTACAGGGCTCGGGGAATATCTGACAAGAGAAAACTTTGATGAGCAGTGCTCTTTATTCACTCTGGCATTTTACTGCAATTTTAGTAATGACTACGTGTCTGAAATCAAAGGGCACTGGACCAAAACATCTGACAAATTTGACCTGAATAGAGATCAATCCTTAACTCCATTAGAAATTATTAGGGCCTTTTTGTAGTCCAATCAGTCTGACCTGGTCCTGATGCTGTTAAGTGTAGAAGAAAACAATTTTTATTTTTTCACAGAAGAATTTGTCTGTCCATTGTAACAGCTGTAGGTCCATATAGACCTGGCCATAATCTAATAATTTGCAGTCAATGAAATTTTCTCTGTGAAGCCCTTAGATGATCTACATTGAGCAAGCTCCACATAAAAGTGTGCCCCAAATAGTTTTTATTAACATAAACATTGAGTGTAGATCAGATCAAGCATCTTAAGGGAGTTGTGTTTCATCAGGACTAATTCCAGTATGGCCTAATTTCTGGTTTGATGTTCAATCCAGGACCACTTCAATAGGGCCACTGGATGAATAATCAAGTTCTTAACTGTATAGTGATCCTTATTCTAGTCTCTCAAAAAGTCTTTTCAATGTAATCCACAATAGGCCACCCATCCCATTGACTGAGCAGGGCTATAGTTGTTAGAATCAAGTTAGATATGTGAGCCAACACATAGTTTGGAGGTTGAAAGTCAAAGGTCAAGTTGAGCAGTTCGAGGTTCTTTTTTAGTCAGGATAAAGGTCAAATTGAAGCTAGCAAAACAGGTCAAAAGTTACAGCTACATGTAGATTGATTTAACAGCAGTTCAAAGGCCACATAAAGTTATATAGTTGCAGATGTATACATAATTGAATCAGGGGTACTTTGAGGTATGGGTCCTGGAGACAGCCCTGGTTTTGCATTACTTAACTGTGTTTGTTGGCTCACTTCAGCCTAGTAACTAAAACATAAGACAAGAGAAGGCTTGCTGAAATGTTACTGAAACAAGACTGTCAGTAACAGATCAGCTACTGACAGTCACATGTGGCTAAGGGCAGGCCAAATAAATAATACCATCAGGGTGAAGTAAAGACCAAGTAGCTTGAGACAGTTAGTAAGAGACACAATGAGGTCATACATTGTATGTGGCAACCTTCTTGACACCTGTAGCCCTGACAGGAGAGGGAGGGGGGCACAACTGCCTGCACATGAGCAACCTTTGGACATAAACTTAAGCAAAACCTCACCATAACCATGCCTGGGTTAAACCACATAAAGCTTCAGGTCATAAGAAGTTGTTAGTCGTGTCATTTCATTTCTGAGAACGAAATTGGATGGACACAAAAATAATTAGGTCAGACATTAAAAGCTGACCTGGCATCCAAGAGGCTTACACAATGTAGGCAACTTAGCAAATGAGATGGAGTCAGATTTCAAACAGAAACCATATATACATAAACGTCAAAATGTTTTTTCTCAACTTCATATAATTCTTTTACACTACACATCTTCATGTACATGAATATGTAACAAAGATGCTGATGCTATTTATAGGCCATGAAAAATTAGGGTTTTACCAATCGTTACACTGAGACAAATTAGACATTACTGCTTGCTCATAGTAAACTCTCCAAGGGATATCGTAGAATCACAGTCATGAAAATGAGAGGAATAATGATTGTAAATAGCCGGTCTTTATCTTCAACTTAATCCAGCATAAAACCCCAATTTGGTTTTTATTCCTTGTTGCCTAAGAAGAACCTCTGTTTTACATGTTGCTGCTGTGCATACCTGACGTTATAATCAATCTTTCCTAATGCAATACATATACAATGTTCATGTATGAGAGAGAGAAACTGGACTTGGTTCAATGAAACAATCTGCGAGGTGTCCTGAAACCTAATCATTTCCAGGTCTCATCAAGACCTACCCACAGTACAGTTGTAAGAGCAAACTACACAGCAACACTGAAGCAAAAGTTTGCATCCAGGAACTGCTGGCTACACTAAAAGCTAAAAGAGAGTCTGCCTACACAGACCTGGAAAGTGACAGGTGTACTAAACACTGAGACACAGACAGATCCGTCTGCCTCTGCTACTGCAGAATGACAGCTTTCTCGATGACCCTCTGATAAAGGGTGAAAGCTGCTCATGCCCTGCTGTAATTCATTTCATGAGAAATGGGGGTTAATAGAAGGGGGATGTTGAGTTATTATCAGTAGGGATGAAAGAGGATGGAGGTGGCAGGGACAAGTCCTTGATGCATCACCCCTGCCAATCCTCATCGTGATGGACAGCAAAAAAGGGCTGATGTAAAAAAAGGGGCTGACGGCTGAATGATGCTGTTGCCGTTTGCGATTGATCCGCTGTACAGTCACCACGATGTACAGGCTGACTCATTCGAGCGAGACTGGGAGCAAGCAGGGATATTGGACGTTATAACGGTAACATGTCCTGAGTTATATCAGTGACGTGTTCCGATGAGAATATCAGGGAGAAGTTTCAAAATCAAATAGTGCCTCAAGCGTAAACTGACGTCACTGTTTGCAGCAAGCCACAACTTGTGTTGTCATGTTTGAACTAGACACGTTAGCCTGAGTCACACCAGCGAAACTGGAAGTCCATGGGTTACAGCTAGAGAAAGTAAAATGAATTGTCATGTCTGCTTGAGTCATTGGATGCCTCTAGTAAAACGTGTTCCACTGGAACTTAAATACAGCAAGCAAGGATCTCTGCTGTAATGTTTTAACTAGACAGACATGTGAGCCTGAGTCACACCAGCAAAACTGGAAGTCGTACCTCCGGATTAGTACATGGGAGGAGGTGAGGAGAGTAAAATGAATTGTCATGCCTGTTTTGAGTCATCGGGTGCTTCTAGAAAAACACATTTCCAACTGGAACTAAAATACAGCAAGGTCAAAGCGGTCAGATCATATTTATTGCGTTGTAGTGGTGGCCGACAGCTTTATTTCCAAGGTGAACGTATGTCCTGTCAGAATTCTGATGGATGACGGAGGGAGGTGTCATCAGAGTTGGACACGTCTGCTGGAGAGGACGGCACCACCCCCGGTCTGATGGCCCCCCAGGGACTACACGGGATAGAACATGTATTTTCTCCATGGAAAAATGGGAAGTGAAATCCGTATGGAGAAACAAGAAAGTGGGATTTTTGTATTGGAACTGTGAAGAGTGATGTACACTATACACGTAATGCCCTTCATGCAACTGGACTGCTAGTCATACAAAGGAATAATGTACACTTACTTGACTATCACACCATCCTTCTACATGTAAGTCTGGAATCTAATTTTTTTTAAACCCAGCATAAAGTAGCACCGCCCAAAACAATACTGCCATCCTGGGAGTGATGCCAATATCGCTCTTTTCTGTCCTGGACCTTACATCTATAATTGGTAAATCATACTAGTCTCAGCAAGCTATCTACTGTGGAAATCTTAATGAGAAAGTAGGGAAAAAAACCTGAACAAAGATTAATTATTACAAGGTCAACAATATAAAGCAGAATCCTGTCCAGACAAATTGTATGTACTATGTAGCAAAACCGTCCCTTCATGTAGTGTGAATCCTTGTCCTCATCTGCAGATCCACTAGACTGTGAAACCAGTAGTAACAGTGGCCATGTTGGCAGGGGAAGGGGAGTGACTAATCATTACCCATCATCCTAATCCCTTGTTATTAATCGTTATGCCTCATTAAGCACATGTGATGCAGAAAAGTACCTATATGTTTTTCTCCACATGTAGACACTGCACAGTCCATTTCTGCTACTAGCTGTGTAGGGGTGCGACTTGACTTTTCGAAAAGGTCATATCATATTGCAGACCATAATTTTGCTGAGTTTTTATTGCCGTTTCTGAACATTTTATGGTGGAAATTCATCTCTCTGTCAGACACACTTTAGCCTTCTCTATTTCATTGATCTATTGGAATACTGAGATGGATCCAGCTATATATCTCCAGTTTATATGCCAGGAACCCCTTTTGTATATTGTAATTTGCAATTTCTTTAAGTGTTGTCTTTCTAAGAATATGAAAAACCAACTTTGTACCTTTATCCACCATGTGTTGGAAAATCAGTCCATTCTGAGTTAGGACATTTACGGTAGCAATTTAAATTCCCGTTTTAATGAGATTAACAACATCGTAATATGCACATGTTTGTAACGTTACATGAGGGGAAATTCCCCGGCCTGGAAATTCCAGAATGATTAGCACTGGTGGATGATAAGCTGTCAATCATAGTGACTGATGACTTACATTTTTTTGTAAATTGCTCTCTGATATCTGGGTCACCTTCAGTGATTAAACATTTCCCCTCTATTAATAATGCTGTCCACACAATGACAATACGATTTGCAAGGTAGTTAGCACACCTTTTTACAACTCTCACATTCTGATACAGAGAAAACCTATACAATTGT